TTTGTATCAACCCCCCCCCCCTTTCTTTTTTTTTTTACTGTAAGCCGCCCTGAGTCTCTTTTGAGAGTGGGCGGCATACAAAATTTAATAAATAAATAAATCTCTGGTAAGAGCAGGACAAATGTTGTGTATCTGTCCTTGCTGTCCTTGATTTCTCAATGGCTTTCAGTATCAACCATGGTATCCTTCTGGATTTAATCTGTTAATTGGGGGTGGGCAGCACTGAACTGTGCTAGTTCTGCTCCTTTCACCGAGGTCAATAGCAGTAAGCATGGATTGGGGTTGAGAGATTTTGTGCTTGGGCTACTATAAGGAGTGCTGCTGGGTTTGATGCTTTCTCTCCACTTCTATTTAACACCTGCATGAAACCACTGAATGAGATCATCTATTAACATGGGGTAAATTGCCATCAGTACATTGATGATCCCCAATTAAATGTTTTCTCTCATGGAGAATTAGCCCAGGCTGCTGATATCCTATCCCAGTCCTAGAGCCTGTGGGGGCCTGGATGGGAAACAACAGGCTGTAGCTAAACTGTGGCAAGACTGACTGGCTTTGGGTTTGGGGGCCTTCCATTTCTGGGACTTTCCCATGTTTGAGACTGGATGGAGTTGCATTTTCCCTAGCAGACCCAGTGTGCAAATCTGTGGGTCCTCCTGGACTTACAATTCCTATTCAAGTATTGTGTGCCATTGCACTCATTCCTGAAATTGGAGGCTCTTCTCACAGTCACCCTTGCTCTGATTACCTCCCAGGTGGACTGTTGCAATAAGCTTTTTATGGGGCTGCCTTGAAGAGTATTTGGAAGCTTCAGTTGGTACAAAATGTGGTGGGGCAGACAGTTATGTATGCCCCTAGATTGGTTCACATGACACTTCTACTCCACAAGCTGCATTGTTTGCCAGTTTGCTTCTGGATCCAATTGAAAGTGCAAGGTTTTTACCGTTAATTGGGACTGCCCTCTTCCCAATTATATGTGCCTATCCCATCCATCCTGCAAAAAGGGTATCTTGCAGATCCCATCTACTAAGAAGTTATATTTGGGGTGGGGGGGGATGACGACAGGGACTCTGGATGCCCTTCCTGTGAAAGATCATTGCTCTTAAGATGAGATTGACCCAATCTCTGCCAAACCTTCCCAAGGTCTCTCAAGACAAGGTTATGTCAGCAGGCTTGGGGATCTCAGGTGGAGAACTGGCGAGATGGCTACACAGTGTTTACCATTGAAGATGCTCCCTCCTAGTCTTCTAAAATAATGGTTTTTACTGTGAAATTATTTTTACCGTTTGTATCTTTCATGGTCTGCTTTTATTGTACTCTGCCTGGAGTCATGTTCATGAAACAGGCAACTATACAGATGAAAAGAATGAATAAATCAATCAAACAAACAGAAGCCAACGAGATTCAACTAACTTAGTACAAACCTAGCTGTCTGCAACTTAATCGGAAGGTTTTGTTAATTGGGATTTCACCATTCTAATAATCCATGCCTCCAGATATGGGACTGCAGCATTAATTATTCTTCATAAACCTGTCCAAATTTCAGGATATCTGAAAATTTAGGGAGAGGTACTCTTAATATAATTTGAGTCTGTAATGGAGGCTACTGTATTGCCCTATATGAAGTTGTTCACTGTTCTTTCTTGGAATTGCTAGATTACTCTAAATTGTAGCATTTTATCTCTTCTCAGTACCTTCCGCATTATGTTACCTATGCTCTCAGGTTTTGCAGACTTTCTTTATATTTAAACTCCTCCTGTTCATAACACAGTGCTATCTCCTCACTTCTTAGTGCTTACTTCTTTTGTAATAGTGCTTCATCCAGGCTTAAAAGCTGTCATGTTCTTTCCTTGGCAGAAAGCACTTAACCTCCTCCTAAAGCACTCGGCAGACATCAATGCTCGTGACAAGTATTGGCAAACACCACTGCATGTTGCTGCTGCCAACAGAGCAACCAAGTGTGCTGAGACCATCATCCCACTGCTTAGTAATGTTAATGTGGCAGACCGCACTGGCCGCACAGCACTGCACCATGCTGTACACAGTGGGCACCTTGAGGTAAGGGATGTCTTCATCCTTCCAGAGACGTTTATGCATGACTTCTGCATGGGGTAGAGATGAGATGTAATGGAGCAATGATGGACATTTGTTTTGTTGCAAACAATATTTTCCCATACAAAAACCACTCAAGAGTCTTTTGTTAGACACACTCAAACTCACATAATAGAGTCTCCATCTGCTATGGTTAATGAGGGGTCCTTGGTACTCTCTGAGCTTAGTTGTTTTCTTGCAGACGTTTCATTACCCAAAATAGGTAACAGTATCAGAGTAACACTGGGTAAAGAAATGTCTGCAAGAATATAGCCAAGCTCTGAGAACACCAAGGACCCTTCATTTCAACACTGAGCTACAAATATTTCCCCTATATTGGTGCTATGGTTAAGGCAAAGCCCTTTGGAGCAATCCTTCATGGCAGTGGATTTGAAGCAAAGAAAGAAGAAGAGGATTTTCTCATTTTCTTTTAATGGATTTCAACTTTATTACATTATTTTATTTTACTTAATTTTATTTTATTTTATTTTACTTAATTTTATTTTATTTTATTTTACTTAATTTTATTTTATTTTATTTTACTTAATTTTATTTTATTTTATTTTACTTAATTTTATTTTAAAACTGCTCATCTCGCCCACAGAGTAACTCTGGACAGTGTGCAAATAGTTCTTACTGCCGCCTTTCTGCTACTTTTCCATGTTAGAAACATGGACATATTGCATATGATGTGAATGAAGCGTTGGCTTTTAGGATACTGTAACAGTTGGACGAGGGATGCGTTGGCTCAGTGGCTAAGACGCTGAACTTGTTGATCAGAAAGGTCGTCAGTTTGGCGGTTCGAATCCCTAGCTCTGCAAAACGGAGTGAGCTCCTGTTACTTGTCCCACTTCTGCCAACCTAGCAGTTCGAAAGCACATAAAAATACAAGTAGAAAAATAGGGGCCACCTTGGATGCCGGCCACATAACCACGGAGACATCTTTGGACAGAGCTGGCTCTTTGGATTTGAAATGGATATGCACACTGCCCCCTAGAGTCGGGAACGACTAGCACATATGTGTGAGGGGAACCTTTACCTTAACAGTTGGACAGAAGTCTTTGCTCTTCTAGTAGTAAAATATTTTCTTTCCCTTCGACTTTTAAGCTAGTAAATATGAGACTATTGGAGAATCATGGAGGGGTTGAGTTTCTTTTTGGGTAAAGAACACATGGTGTGAAACAGACCATTGGATGCATGTGAACTTGTTTTTTCAGACTGTACATCAGAATATAACTAACATACAAATAACATACTGATGAATGATTCATTAATTAATATGAATAATAACAATATCCAACAGCCATGGGCTATTTTGTTTTCCATAGCAAAGTTTAATATACAAATAGGTAACATCTGATTTGCAGGCAAGGTAAGGTTTTGTTATATTATAAGAATGGACTTCCAGATTATCTGTATCTATATCTCGTTCCATTTCTTTGTGAAGTGTAGATCCAATATTTTACATAAATAAACTGAACCAAAGCATCCATAGGGGAAAGTGGCAGGAAACACCAAGTTGTTTGCCTTGTGTTTTTATTTTAGATTATTTAATGTCTATCTTCTTTCTAGATGGTAAACTTGCTCTTAAATAGAGGGGCCAATCTGAGCACATGTGACAAGAAGGAGAGACAGCCAATACATTGGGCAGCCTTTCTGGGTAAGTCCCCCTCCCACGTTTTGCATATCCCCTCTATTATGCTTGATATATTTGATACGTAGGGCTTTCACAGAAACTATATATAAAAACATACACCCAGGATATTTGCCTAGTAAGAACAAAGGATGCCCAATAGTAGTGAGCCAGAGGTAGCACATTGCAGTTGGCATAGGGCGATTTCCCCTCTCCCATTTTGTTTATTAACATTTTTATATATTGCTGTACTTCAGTTAACATTAATAAGATCCAGAAACCAGTCAAGAATCTGTAATTAATGGTAACAAGTCAAAATCTTTATGAAATGTTTCCATCTTGACAGCCTTCTTAAATGGGAGGGTGCTGTCTGAATGTCTGCTGTTTCAAAGGAGTTTAGAACCTGTAGATAAGTGAGTTAGGAGGTTAGGACCTCCCAACTCACCTATCCTTCACCTACCACAACTGCCACACCAGCGGAAGCTGGCCAAAGGCTTCTCAACTTGTGAGTCCAGAAGAATCCTGCTCTGTTCCTTTGGGGGCAGTGCAACCCCATCTAGGGTCAGAACTGGACCTGGCAGGGAACAAGGCAGTGGTGGGTTCTGGATCCCGTTGCAACTGGTACAGTGCAACGGGGCCCGACGTCCTCCACATGAACGCACGCAGCGCGCACATGCATCCTTGCCTCCTGCGACCTTCCACGACGCTCCAGCTGCTCTCATGCAGGCGTTGTACACTGCGTGCGCGGAAGCACCAAAGAGCTCAAATACTGGTAAGGATTGCGGGTGGGCCCTCCGGAGCACCGTACCAGAATGGTACCCGGTGCTCCTGGCAGGCACCGGTACACCCATGTTGGGGCGTACCGATCGTAACCCACCACTGGAACAAGGGTTCTGGACCAACAAGACCACCTTCGGTCAAGACTTACACTACATCTCTGGTTTGGCCAATGAGGAGGCATATATCTAATGCATACTAATAAGTATAAGTATAATTTTTATTGTCATTGTACTTAAATACAATGAAATGATACCTCGCTCAAACCAGGGGTGGGATCCTACCAGCTTCACTACCAATTCACTGAGAGTGCTGCACACATGCGCACAGTTAAGAGAAAATTGAACTCCGCATTGAAACAAGAAAAGGAGCAAGGAAAACAGCTGAGGATCGGCAATTCAATCTGCTGCCCCGATCAGCTGGGCTTCAGAAGCATAAATAAAGGTTTGTATAATGCAGGGGCAGGCGGGTGGGCCCACTTTCACAGAAACAGAGAACTGGTTCGCTCTTGGCTTGAAGTCAGAGCTACCTGTTTGTGTGAAGCTGTCCAAACCGGTAGAATACCACCTCTGACTCAAAATAACTGATGATTTCACCCAAGGATTTCACATAGAGGCCATCAATACTAGTGCAGGGGTTCTTAATCCATGGGCTGCAACCTGGTACCAGGCCATGGTCCACTGGGAACCAGGCCATGCAAGTGGCAGGTGAGCGTATAAAACTCCATTTGCCCAAGCAGTGGCCATGGGCACTCGACTCCATTTGCACAACAGTGCCTACTGCTTGCACAAATGGAGCTTTGCATGTGAACCCGCCCACTGCTTGCGTGGAACCAACCCTCTCTCACACACCGCCGCTGCCGCCACCACTACCAATCCACAGAACCGGAAAGATTGGGGACCACTGCAGTAGTGCGGGTGTCAGCAACCCACGGCTCCAGACCCGCATGTGGCTCTTTCATCCCTCTGCTGCGGCTCCCTGTTGCCCTGTCGCGACAGAGGAATGAAAGAGCTGTTGCAGTGGTGACGATGGCCGGAGCCTTAGTGTTTCTTTTCTGTGGGAAATGGGTCCAAATGAGTGTTTTAAGGCTGCAGACCCCTGCACTAGTGGTAAGAGAACCAAAGACTCTGGAACCACCCAGGAGTAACCAAAGATCAGTTCTTCCTCCTCCCACATGTTTGCTGGTGGTATGCAAAATTATCTTCCCAGAAAGGTTAATGGAAGATACATTAGTAGGAGCAGAGATCCAAGGCACAACCAGGGTGGCCCACATAGGCAGGAGCCCAGTGAATCTGCCCCATATCAGAACAGTTGTCCCAGTTAAGTAACTCTGACTACCACTTTGTAACTGGCACCAGAGACAGAATTACCTCATAGGAATCTCTTTTACCTTCAGCAAGGTGTAGAATGTCACACTAAGGTAATTACTACTGTTATTAGATCTGCTACTTTTTATCAGATCCATCTTTTAATTCCTATCACCTGTTGATTTCATTACTCTTGCCACATTCGGTCTGCAATCAGTAATGAATTATATAATCCCCTCCAGTTGGATGGAATTTAATTATACACCGAGGCATTAAGATAACACAAGCAGCTGTTAAACTGCTATTTGGATCCATTAACTCCCCAGTAATCTCGTTTTATACTTCAGCTGAGAAGCAAAAATTTGGGACAGGAAAAGTTGCCTTTTTAAAAAAAATGTCAGGGAACAAACTTGTCTTTTGTATTGTAATTTCTTATTGGAAGCAAACTCCACATCTAATAGAGTTTGATATATATTTAAAGTGGGGCATCAAATTAAAGTATCTTTCCCTCATGAGCATGTCTCTCTCTCTCTCTCTCGGGACCTTTGCTTCATGTGAATATGTTCATGGGAAATATAATATGTAATACCTGTCCATCTCCTATTACAGGTTTTCTATGCTTATTCAATGAAATGATTTCATTCTGCAGCAGTAATGGGTGGCATTAATCTTGCTCTGTTTAGCAAGATATTTATTAGATTTGAATGCCACCCATCTCATCTAGAGGTGACTGCTATAGCAAATGCTATATACTATCACAGACCTCAGCCTTATTTTCCAGAGGCAGTTTCCATAAATGCATTGCAGAAATTTGTGTTACTTGATGTTTTCACTCTTTATATCCTGTGACATTCTTTTAGAATTTTGCTTTATTTACTTCTACCTTGTTTTCTTACTATTTTATTATAGTTGGGACTATAGAGACATCCCTAATAGAAAATATGTGATGATTCTCCCTATCTGTCACATATATGTTATACCTTTCTAAGACTTAATTCAAAACATTCACCTTTTATGGTCTAGTTCAGGGGTCAGCAACCTGTCGTTCTGGAGCCGCATGTGGCTCTTTCATCCCTCTGCTGCGGCTCCCTGTTGCCGGTCAGCTCCACAATTGATAGGGCTTTCGGTTAGGACAGGTAGAGGAAAAAGGATACCGCGCTAGGAGGGGGAGAACCGGACTTTGGGTTGACTCCAGAATTGAACAGGGGGCTTCCAGTTAGGACCTTTGTGGCTCTTTGAATGTTTAAGGTTGCCAACCCCTGGCCTAGTTATCTTATACACAGCTTTGGTTACTAAAAAAAAAAAACCCATTAACAATGCAATTTGGAAGTCAGTAGAACAATTCTCTTTTTAAATTCAACGGATGAATAAACTGGGTACACAATAAAGCATATTCTTTAAAAATATTCTTTAAACAAGGATATTCTCTTTTCAGCTGTGTATTTATTTCATATACGAGGCTGCCAATGGCTTCTGAATTTTGAGCAGAAAACATCAGGTTTTCAGGTCGCAATCTAGGACAGAGTAAACCAGCACACTTACTTCTTAAATGTTACACTTGCAAACTTTTGATCATGACATCTTTTTGAACTCTCAACTATACCAGTATTTGGTTGGATGGAATTGAGGTCAGAAAGCAAAAACATAGTAACAAAGGACTGTAACAGATGTGTGTACTTTGTGCAATAGACAAAATCTAATTTGCATGATGAATGCAGTCGACTGGAACTAAATTAATCCACTTGGCCTTGGGAAAACTACATTTTCTAGTTAGTCAGTCTGAGTGGGAGTAGCTCTACTGACTTTGTGCAAAGTAACATTGAACTTAATAAGTATTTCCTCATATGCACACATACAGACACACACACACTGAAATTATATATTTCCACACACGTACAACTTTTAAAACAATAAAACAGCAGACCTATAAAGAATTATAGATCCTTTAAAGCTAACCAATATCTTTTATGTGGAATAAATCAAAAGGTGAAATATCAATGCTGTAAACATATTAAATGCAGGATGCTAAAGTTGGACCACAGTTTTAAGTTGTTTCCAGAAAGGTTAATGCTGCTTAAATTCTTGTCTTGGTTAAGAGAGTCATTGGGCTGCTGGAAAACATGTTGCTACTCTTCAGGGGGGGATCTTGACTCCCTCCACCAGTTAAATAATTTGAATATTGTTGCCATTAAACTAATTAAGTTTTAACCCCAAGTATTATTGATCCTCATTTAATGTTGCACTGTGATTAATAGGATAGCCGAAATTCATGCTAAATTCATGCCATCTTGTTGGGGGGGAGAGAATTTACATGCTTGCATGCTACTCATCTTCTATCCTGCTTGAATAATTTTATAATAATGTATTTGGCATTCAAAATTTGAACCTTGCTTCTACTGCATTCTGTATCATGCTCCACATATGAAAAATGGAATTCCCAAACCTTGCAAAAATATATGATCATTTCATATATTCATAAGATTTGAGTAATCCTTTCAGACTCTTCTTATCTATACTATTGTAAGCCCATTTGCTATAGCGTGGAAGCATTTGAACGGTTTCAGTCTTCTGCATTGTCTTTTCTTAGGGCATTTGGAAGTGTTGAAGCTACTGGTAGCCCGTGGAGCTGACATCACGTGCAAGGACAAAAAGGGTTACACACTGCTACACACAGCAGCAGCCAGCGGCCAGATTGAAGTTGTGAAACATCTGCTGAGGCTTGGAGTTGAGGCAAGTGTGATGATAGTACCAGTTTTAGTGCACGCTGGGTTGCTCTGTAGTGTGCCTATCCTCTTTTCAGGCTTGTTCCCTTCAGATGTGCACGTATATAATGTCTGGCAAATTAGGTTTACTGTAATGAAACAGATGTGAGTTTAGATTCAGCTCATGAGTCAATTTTGTATGCTGTTTGTTTTAAGTAACTGATAGTCCTTGGGTTACTACAGCTCATTCAGTGACTTGCAATCATGCTGAACAAGGGGCCCTTATAATGTGTCTTGGGGAATTCTGGCTGTCACACTGTCTCTGTAATCATGTGAGCACAATTTCTGGCATTCTCTGCTAGCCTTCCGTGAACAAAGTCAATAAGAAAGGTGGCAGGAAGTTGCAGTCACATGAGCTCCTTGCTGAACTATTGCAACCCAGGTTCTTGTCGCTAGGTGACACGGTCATATGATGTTGTGCTTCACAACTGCATCTCTTAGCAATAGCAATTTCCTGTCCCAAATGCTACCTGTAGTGGTTAAAAATTGAGAGTAGCTTCCAACAGCAAATATTTTAGTCTAAGTTAAGATGCAGTATACAGATTTTGTAAGTATTACAGCTTTTCAGATACAGTAATGCAAATCAAGGGAGTTTTATAGTATAATCCTATATATAATTTAAGATTAAGACAGATTTTTTTAATGGCGTTGTTGAGAATGTAGGCTGCAGGATTAGCCATTAATGGTTCTTGATTATATACAGAGTCTCTTTACCCAGTTCCTTCCTCTGAGGGAGATTTAAAAAAATACTTTATTCTTTTAAAATCAAGGGGGAAACTGGGCAACAACTGGAAACAGAGTTAAATCCATCAAAGAGCTGGGTGAGCACGAGACTAACTTGCGCAAAATGAGAGCACCAAAATCTGGAATGGCAGAATATTTTTTTGGCAAGCATGCTCTGGGAGAAAGTGACAGTGTATATGTATAAAATATATATGCACATGTGTGTGTGTGTGTGTGTGTGTGTGTGTGTGTGTATGTATGTATGTATATATGTATATATGATTGTGAGTGTATATGTTCCAGCATAACTCTGGAACACCTTGAGCGATTTCAATCAAACTTGGTACACAGATGGCTTACTCTCTGGAGAAAAATACTGGGGGGGGGGGGTAAGACACCCCTAACACCCTTCAGAGTATGTGTTTTGTTAAGATACAGCCTGTTGTGCCTTAAAATGGCTTCTACTGTACTGCTGTAAAATGGCTTCTACTGTACAGTGCACTGGAGTTGCCATGGTAATGGCTTTCCAGTACTCCACAAGAGGGCTCCCTCTGTTAATGGGGTGGGGGGGAAATCCAACATTAGAAATTACGTTTGATCCGGACATTTTCCCCATATAAATAAATACCCGGAGAATGCCGGGTTATCATCTAGTGAGAACTAAAAAACGCTCGTGAATAGCAGCCTCTGAATTATTATTTTTGAATCCCAAAGAAACTGGAGAATTCCAGGAAGTTAAGAGTCTTGCTATTTCCATAGAAATAAATAATATATCTAGCCAGGAATTTGTGCTAAATCTTGATCTCTAACTAATTCTCTATTATTTTATGTAAGTTAGAGAATTAAGGGCAATAGCGTCTATTCATTCTTCAGACTATGTTCAAAAAGAAATGTTTTTCTTTATGATCCCCTTGTGATAAGAATAAAAAGAGGAATGCTATGAAACATCTCTTGCCTTTGCTTGGATAAAGAGCTCTCAGTTTGTAGCTGAACAGCTGCTGTCTTGGACCATTGTATTTTCTTGTAAATCATGATCCGGGCAGTTCTGTAATGCAATCTTTAACATAACTGTAACATTTTTTGGTTGGTTTATTGCCAAGATAAGATAGCCTGTCTTATCAACTTATCTCCTAAAAAGAGGGAAAGAAAGGTTACAGGAAGTGGGCATGGCTAGTATAGTGAAGAGAAGGACCAGGGGAGACATGATAGCCGTGTTCCAATATTTGAGAGGCTGCCACAGAGAGGAGGGGGTCAAGCTATTTTCCAAAGCACCTGAAGGCCAGACAAGGAATAATGGATGGAAACTGAACAAGGAGAGATTCAACCTGGAAATAAGGATTTTTTTTCTGACATTGAGAACAATCAACCAATAGAACCGCTTGCCTTCAGGAGCTTCATCACTGGAAGCTTTTAAGAAGAGATTGGACTGCCATTTGTCACAAATGATGTAGGGTCTCCTGCTTGGGCAGGGGGTTGGACTAGATGACCTATAAGGTCCCTTCCAACTCTGTTAATCTGTTAAGATTTTTTGGAGAGAAGATGTGCTTGAATATAACTGGTTGGGCTGTCAGACAGCAATAGCATATGAACTTTTATCCCCTTTGGCCAAACCCTGTGCTCAACATGATCTCAGCCTATTCGAATGCTACCTTCCTGTCTTTTCTTACAGATTGATGAACCAAATTCCTTTGGCAACACTGCACTTCACATTGCCTGTTACATGGGCCAGGATGCCGTGGCGAATGAACTGGTCAACTACGGCGCCAATGTCAATCAGCCCAATGAAAAGGGCTTTACCCCCCTGCACTTTGCTGCCGTCTCCACCAACGGAGCCCTGTGCCTGGAACTTCTTGTCAATAATGGAGCTGATGTGAACTTTCAGGTATGGCCAGAGGTGCTGCATTGAATAAATAGAGCCACGGAGAAAATGAAAATGACTTAAGTATTCTTGGGGCAGCAGTGTAGGATTAAAAGCAAATGGAGCTCCTTGTTGTTGGCTGACTAAAGCTTTGATGTTTGCAGAGTAAAGAAGGGAAGAGTCCTTTGCACATGGCTGCCATTCATGGACGGTTTACACGCTCTCAGATTCTTATACAAAATGGTAAGTTGTCAGTTATTTCCTGTTAAGGAAACCATCCTAATATTTTACAGTATTGTTTTCTCAGGCTGAGATCTTACAAGACTGAGGCATCATGTAATTTTTGGGGATCCTATTCAAGATTTCAGTTGTTTATTTGTTGACACTCATTGCCTTAACAAAGTTACCAGTCCCTGCAGGTATTCGAACTTACTTGTATTTGTTACTTTCAGTATTTTGTTTTTGTCATTTCGAATTACAGCAACTTTGATTTCCTCCAAATTAATTTCTTTTGATTGTTCTGAAAGTTAGGCACAAAGGGAAATATATGTAAAGTGATTAAACAGTTACTCTCTGTGGATCCTGCACTGAACAGAGGGTTGGATTAGGTGACCTCTATGATCACTTCCAACTCTTATGACTTGGTCAATAGTTTTGTATCAGACCTGGGCATTTTATGGGCTGTGCACCACATCCGGCCCATGGGTGGTCCAATCCAGCAGGAGACAATGGTGTGTGTGTGTGTGTGTGTGAGAGAGAGAGAGAGAGAGAGAGGTGTTGGCAGCATCGGGGGGCAGGGCGGTGGGGCAAGGGCAGTGACAGGATGGCAGCCCTCCACAGCAGATCCAGTTTCTCATGTAGCCCCATGTAAAAACAAATCTCATAACCCTGTTCTATATCGTACATTCTCATCTCTTGGTGGCTAAAGTGGAGTCACCTGTTGCCTCTGAGGGATTTGAAGAGAAAATATTAATGCAATCTGTTTGTTTCTCAGGCAGTGAGATTGACTGCGCTGATAAATATGGCAATACCCCCCTTCACGTTGCTGCTAGATATGGCCACGAGCTGCTAATTAGTACTTTGATGACGAATGGTGCTGACACTGCAAGGTGAGGGCATATTTCTCATCCGAATTAATGTTAAGGTCACAGATCTAGAATTCTGACTTATTTCCCTCCTAACTGATTAGAATTGTCAGGGCAGAATAAACCACACTTGTCTTAAAGTAATGTTCAGCCAAATGTGTACTCTGCTAGTTAACCACAACCAGGTTGAAATGTGTCATTATTGGACTCTGTAGTAGAGCAGTGACTGACTGACAGTAGAGTATACCAGCATATAGTTAAGGATGAGGGTAGTTTAGAATTGAGGGTATGCAAGTTGTAAATAGCAATAGCACTTAGACATATACTGCTTCACAGTGCTTTACAGCCCTCTCTAAGCAGTTTACAGAGTCGGCATATGGTCCCCAACAATCTCAGTCCTTATTTTACCAACCTTGGAGAAATGGAGAGCTGAGTCAACCTTGAAATGGTCAGGGTCGAACTGCTGGCAGCTGGTAGAATTAGCCTATAATATTGCACTCTGACCACTGCGCCACCAAGGCTCTAAATGAAGTCAGTGTGTCCATGCGGGGGTGGAGATCACTTTGTTCCTGCCCTGTTTGCAGCCTTGGCCTTGTGTACTATCATGTTTTGATCTTTTATTCTTTCAGGCGTGGGATCCACGACATGTTCCCTCTGCACTTAGCTGTTCTCTTTGGATTCTCAGACTGTTGTCGTAAGCTACTTTCCTCAGGTAAGTTTTCTGTTGGACTGGGGGAGTGGGTTCATAAGGAAACAGTTGATTTTGTACATGTGGCTGAATTCAGAGCAAGCCAACTGTGTGAATGCTTAGAAAAATAGAGGAATTGTCTGAACGTATTACCTAGTAGTTCAGCAAATGTGAAGAATTTTAAGAAAGAATCTAAATTCAAGGTGTAAGCCTGTGGCTTCAAGGCTGCCACAGGGTCTCTAGCTTTGGCAAATGACCAGCAAAATCCCTAGTCAAAATTGCATCCAAATTTGTAGTGTTTCATATGATGGAAGGGGTAAATTAGTAAGTACATAGTTAACTGCATTTATTAAAATTAATAATTAAAATTAAGTATAAATAGGGATTAAACGATATTCACTTTTTTATCCTAGCTTGATACTTTTTACAGTCCAGCGTATAATTTATCATTTAAGGGTCAGATGTAATGTAGGAGATAAGAAAAGGAAATATAAATGATCTAATTTCTACCAACCTTGTAGGTTATGATGATCTCATAAATTCTATCCAATCAGATTTTTTTCCATCTTCCTCTTCCTCTCAATCTATTTCTGTTTTTTTATTCAATCCTCGTTTAATTTCTCCACATAAACAAATCACTTTTATCTATTTCATTTGGCACTGATTAAAATCAACACAACCTTTCTTTTAGGATACTTTTTTTTTTACACTGAAGATTTTTTTTTAGCTTATTATACCTCTCTATGCCTTCTGTTTTACATTTTTCTATCCCCAAAGGGACTAGCATAATATGTACCCATGAAGTGTGGTTTTCCTCTATGTAGAAGAGGTTGGTTGGTTGATAATTTCAGTAAATCCCAGAATTATAATTTCCATGGTATCTGCCACAGAGTCATGGTAAATTAATCCCATTTCCCAGTCACCCTTCACTTTCTTCTGATTCTCAGGTCAGTTGTACAGCATTGTCTCCTCACTCAGCAACGAGCATGTGCTGTCTGCAGGCTTTGATATCAATACGCCAGATAACCTCGGGAGGACCTGCCTCCATGCTGCTGCTTCCGGAGGGTGAGCAATTCATTTACTCTTAATGTGGCAAGACATTCCTTGGGATAACTCTGAAAGAAAGATTCCCAATCTTACTATCTTTAGATTAAGAGAAAGGACGGTTAAATTTCAGGTAGTCCTTGACTTAACGACTGGTTGCTTAGCCACCACTTAGACTTATGACAAACTTCCCCAGAGGGGTACTTAAGACCCAGTTTCAAAGTTCTGACCGCTGCATTCCCCATCACATGACCTCACTTCAGCCACTTGACCACCGGCTCACATTCATGGCTGTTTGCAGCATCTCACAGAAACATTACCAATTACAACATTTTCTGCAAAACCAATCTACAGCAAACATTTGGTTGGCTTAACAACTGCAAAAAAAAAAAAAGTTGTAAAATTGGGTCAGTCACATGGGTGACCAGTTTTATGACCATCAAGTAATATCTGTATGCAGTTGACCACTTCTGTCCAGTTGGAGAAAAATAGGCTTGGAGAATAACCAGTTCTTGGAATACTACTGTAGTCAGGTGGAGACAATTCTCTGATCAAAGCAAATATTAGGCTAATCTTAATTAATCTTAATTAATACAGCATTGCCTTTTGCAGAGGTAGGTTGATTTCTCCATGCCACATCATCTTCCGCTGTTACTGCATCATGCAGTAAAAGACTAAGAAATAGTTGTGGCCTGCCAGAGGCCAGTGGAGCTGGCAGCAGATTTGGACAGAGAAGAGGTTGGGGAGGAACATGGGCCAGTCTGGGGAAGACTCTGATGAGGGCTCTGTGTTGGAGGCAGAGAGGGGGCCAGGGCTGTCTGACAGTCATCAGCTGCTGTTGGAGTCTGACATCAGTGAGGCAGACGAACAGCTGGAGCCTGTTCCCAGTGTGCGGATACTTAGAGTTGCTAGACGAAAAGAACAGTTAAAAAACAGGTGTTGACTTGGGAGTAAGACCATAGGTGGACAATGAATGGCTCCTCCCAGAGGAAATAAAAGAGGAGCAAAAGGAGTGGAGATGCAAGAGACAATTAGTTTGCTTAATTGGTTCGTGACTCTCCGAGACTCTTTGCCAAGTTTTGCAGATATTGGCCTGTCAGCTTTCCAAGCCAGATAAGGTCTGTGTAAATCCTCCCTCAAAAGACTTTACTGGATGTGAATGAGCAGAATTCACAGCAAATTAATAAAGGGGTTTTTTGTTGGGACAAGGAGCTTGCGTCATGGTCTTGGGAAGCCTAGGTCAGAACAGAAATAAAGCTGGCATCTTTCTCCATCCCCACCTTTCCCTTCTAGACTGGGCATCACTGGTACAAGGAGGGCATCTGTTGGGTTAACATTCTACGTTTGGAACTGAGACAGATTCTCAGCCTGTTCTTTCATCTGGAAAAGAAACCCACAATGTTATTCAGAGATATATTCTTTACCCTTTGGCTTCTCTGCAGGAATGTTGAATGTCTTAACTTGCTGTTGAGCAGTGGAGCTGACTTGAGGAGGAGAGATAAGTTTGGAAGGTAAATATAGAACACTGTATCTTTGAGACCTTGGGTGAGAAAGAAATGTCCAAGATTAAAAGCCATATGCTGGGCCTCCTTGAGAATGGATTTAGAGGTATAAATGGTTTTGTTAAAATACTACCGAGATTGAGGGGCTCACTTGCATGTATTTTTCTACCTGGCTGATCCTCAATGCTCTGCTTTTGGGAGTTGGGTAGTTGAATTTGGGCAATATTTCATTGTATGTCACTTTTCAGTTTGCTGATGTAACTCAGTGGTAGCAGTTCTGGGATGCAATATCTGCTTTAAAGGTGGCAGGACTGGAATTTAAGCCCTTCTCGTCTCATAGACTGAATTCTGGATCTGTTAAATTAGCATTTCGTAGAATAATCATTAAAGGTTGCTTTGAGAATGAAACTCTACAATTGAGCAGTGCTTTTTTTGTATCAGAGCAGTTTTAAAAACGACAAAGAGGATTCACACTTCTTATTCCTTCAATATATTACTTGACTAGACTTGGCTGAGTAGCTGCTTCAGTCTGGCCCCGTGGCCTTTTAATCCCGATCAGTTTGCTACATGAACTTGCCATTGAGTTGATGAACTGGTGTAAGCTTCTTATATATCACATAGGAACATTATCTGAAACTTACTTTCCTTCTCCTTTTTTTTTTAAATCCAGGACTCCTTTGCACTATGCAGCTGCAAATGGCAGCTATCAGTGTACGGTGACATTAGTCACTGCCGGAGCCAGTATTAATGAAGCTGACTGTAAAGGCTGCACCCCCTTACATTATGCTGCTGCTTCAGACACTTACAGGAGGTAGGAAAAAAGAAAGAAAGAGTATGACTTAGTTGGGTACAATTGGTTTCAATTTTCTCATCAGAGAATCCTTCCATGGATCTTATTTAGTTTCCTGGCACCTGAAAATAAGATTGGGGAAACAATTCAGCACAAAAGCTCTTCCTAAGAAACACTGTGAATCAAGGAATCAGTGTCTCCATTCTTACTGAGCTATTTAGGATAAAGTACGTCTTCAGTTTTCTATCTGTCTTGAAGTGTAATGCCTTTAGTCTCACTTGTTCATATGTTTAGATCTCTAAACTCTTGACATCTCTAAAACAAGCTCTAAATTATTGCTGCTTAAAAATATAATGGGTTTGAAGCTGTTGTGACTAGGCTTCCTGCTTTTATGATACACTGATTCAAAGAAAGATCAGCTTTGATTATCACGGTGTTTCTTGGAGTGAATACATTACTTTAATGTCTATAAGCCTTTCCCCCCTGTATTGTAAGGAAGGCAGAAGCCAATGATAAGCTCTGTCTCATTGCCTGGGATTTAGTTTAATCTCATTTGGGTAACTGTTAATTTTTGGTGAGATTCATCTATGTGGAGTGTGCAGTTTAATAATCCATTAAACTGTTGTTGCCATCAGTCCTGATTTAGTACATGTTCCTTTTTTAACAAATTATCATATGTGATTATTATAAAATAATTTTTGTAAATAAGATTCTAAAATGCAGAGTTTTACTGGATAATATAGACCTGGGCATTTACGATCCATGAACCACATCCAGCCTGCAAGCAGCCATAATCCAGTCTGCTATGGCTGGGGCGGGGTATAGGTGCAGTAGAGGGGTCGATAGGGCGGGGCAGCGGCAGCAGCAGGGTGGTGGCCCTCCACAACAGTCCCAGTTTCTCACAAGGCTTCTTGAGACAATCAGTTGTCCACCAGTGGGATAATGTTTATATACTATGTACATAATATGTACACACATTCTTTGTCTGCTGTATATTGGCAAAACTAATCTAGTTTTCTGCTCTTGCAGAGCTGAGACTCATTCAGGAAACAGCCATGACACTGATGAAGAGCCGCTGAAAGAGTCACGACTGAAGGAGGCCATCTTGTGAGTAGCTCATCCGAACACTCTTTGTTATCCCTTGAATAAACTTGGCTATCTTTTTTCTCCACACTACTTTTAATGTAACCCAGTTGATACTTTAGAGAACATGCATCTTCTCGAGATTCCATTAAAGTAACTCATATTGTTCAGCATTCAGCTTGCGTTAAACAGGGGTAGAAAATGAACTCTTCAGATGTTCTTTTGCTTTGCCTGCCTCAGCTTACAAAACAACCCTACAGGGATTTTTTAAAATAAATAAAAATAAAAAAATAAAAATAAATGCTCGATTGGTGTGCACACACACCTCAATTTTCTCGTCAATGGATTTTTGTTAAATGTATTAATTTGCTATGAAACAGGAAATCATTTGCGTTTTATATGTGGCATGGTAATGATACAAGTTTCTTTTCTGGGAGCTTCCTATGGACTACAGCTACTTTTTTGTTGTTGTTAAGCTGTATATCTCCCTACTACATGGAAGGAGCTACTGTATCTTCTTTACTGTGGTTTATGTGAACTGGTTTTATGATTTAGTGACCGTAACCAAATCTGGATTTCCACAGAATTTTTAGAATTTTTATATGCATCTAATGCTTGGGTTCATTGAATTATATTTATTCCAGTTGTTTAGAGTTCTTATTGGATAATGGTGCTGACCCCTCTCTCCGAGACAAACAGGGATACACTGCTGTCCATTACGCAGCTGCCTATGGCAACCGACAGAACCTTGAGTTGGTAAGTCTGAAGCTTGGACAATTGGACTTTAAAAGTGAAAGGAAACGTCTGTGGACACTTGAAAGGGTCATAGTTTTCTTTGTTGATGACTATTATATGGTTCATTTCTTGGAGGGCATTAGGAAATGGCCAGATTAGAAACAGGTCAGGTTGAGATACAGAATTTGGGTGGCTAAATAAACTCTCATGAGCTAGACAGTAATCTCCAAGACTGCAGATAGACTCCTTTCCCCCCAGTTTCCAGATAAAGCATTATATCTATGCTTTAAATACAAAGATGTATACACTGCTGTGTATTTTATTGCTCTTCTTGGTCTTCATTTTAGATGTGCTTCTGCATACATTTCTGTTCCTTCATTGTTATACTACTTTCTGTACCCAGCCACGCGTTGCTGTGGCCCAGTCTGGGCCTAGTGGGGTGGCGGGTGGGTGCTGCTGTTGGTCAGGACTCAGGGATGCTGGGCCGGGCGAGGCTGGTTGGGGGAGATGGCGCCGGGGAAATTGTCGAGCATCTCCTCGGAGGAGCTGCACTCGGGCTCCCCCAAGTCGGTGGCCCGGGAGAGTGAGACATCCAGGATCTCGGAGGAGGAGAAGTCCTCGGTGTGCCACCTCACGAGGCACCCAGGGGCCGCCCCAGCCCCGCTGCCCCTCAGGCTGACACCGCTGCTGCCACCCCGTCAGAGCCGCCTTGGCAAGGTGGTAGCTGGCTCGGTGTGAGGGGGGGATGGAGAGCACGCGCAGCCGGCCGGGCTGAGGAGATGCTCCGCCTCCTCTGGAGTTCTGCTGGGCTGGCCGGGGGTAGGCCGGCTTAAGGGCAGGAGTATGCAGCCGAGGGATGGTGCAGGTAGCGCCCCACTGCAGACAGCAAAGGCCCAGCGGGAGGGAAGGGGGAGGGGCTGAAGGGCTTCAGCTCCCCTTGGTGGAAATGGCTGAAGCTCATCAGAGGAGAGGCGGAAAGGGGAAAGGGTGCGGCCGCAGCCCAGCCACACATAGGGACCATCGGGACGAAGCTGGAGAGAGGCCGAACGGTTCTGAATATACTATACTCACTAAATGAATGCTATGGTAAATGACACAGCTCTATTCCAACGCAATGTCACTTGAAATAATCAAAATGAAAATAAATCGAAATCTATGAAAATTCAATATAACAATACAATCAGAAACATTGAAATGGAATCATGAAATATTTAGTATAGCGTGTGTTGCTTTTGCGTCCACCAGATGGCGCTGGAAACATTGAAATAGAATCATGAAATATTTAGTA